GTGGAAACGCCCCAATGGGTTCCTGCTCGATTGGTTTGGTTTGTCAATACACCTGACCCTGCTAACCTTGATGACACAAGCGTCCCAGATGTCAGTACGATGGGCGATTGTGCATCAGCTGCCAATGTTGCATCTGCTTTACCAACACCGCAAGATATGAATGGACATTTATGAAATGGACTTTTTATGCTTAGTCAGCAGTTAGTGCTAATGTAAGAAGAGATAGACACACATTTGTTAACCGCTCACATACCTTGTAACCCTCTGTACAGTTTTATTTGTGTTACCCCTGTTACGGGTGAGGGTGTCATTGCCTTGTTTAGAGGACTCCTCTCAGTTGCAAGCTTGGGGCAGGGTGATAGACTTAGAGCTCTTGGCTGTTTGTGCCTTCAGTGTATGGTTTCTCCGTTGGCTACATAAGCGAAACAAAGAACGTGCTATTGCGGTCAGGCAAGTACTTGGTGCCATGGTACTTGACCACGACTCCCCAGTGGCATCCAGATGGGTCAACTTAGCCCTAGAGAACCTGTGAGCCAAAGACAGGTAAGAGCGTAGCCCATCCAGACCAACCTAAGACAGCGGTCCGGACCAAGTGCGCCAGATTAGCGATGATGGGTAAGGCTGGTTACGGGATATGCCAACCTAAGACAGGCCAAGTGTCTCATTTAAAAGAAAAAAGGGGGAGATATCCGGAGCTGCCTGGAGCATGCGCCATGTTGCGCATGCGCGCAATAAGTTTCGGTTTACTGTTTCGCCTTCTGAGAAACCACTGAGTTTTCCTGTAAATCATGTGGGACAGGGAGGTACGATGGAGGAGCTACGAGGGTATAAGAGGGAACCACGGGAGAGAGTGGGAGAGAGACTGCATAGAGGATAAAGAGTGGAGACTTCGAGAAGGAGACTGCAGAAAGGATACTGCGTAGAGACTTCGAGAGAGGGTACTGAGAAACATACTGAGAGAGGAGCATAGAGAAGGCCAGGGAAGGTAGAAAGACAGGGAAAAGAAAACATGTAAGAGAAAGAAAAGGAAAAAGGAAAAATAAAGAAGCAACCGCTAGCGGCAAGTCATCTCAAGCCCCTCATTTCAATCCTCAGCCCTTCTCTTTTCGTGCCTCCAAATCCCGCGGGTCGGGACAGCTGGCCTCAGTGCAAGTTGTATGCAGGCAGGATTGCAGGGTTTTCCCTTTCAATTCTGTCACCAGGATTGCAAATTGACCAATCATTTTGAGCTTATTGAGTCAATCAGGTTCTCCATTTCCATTCATGGTGGTGGGTCCATTATGCAAATTGAAAATGAAGCTGATTGTTGCTTAACTGATACCAATCAAACAGTTAGGATCATAAAATGGACCAATCAGCTATGAAGGGCTAGAACCCTGAAGAGGATATAAGTAGGGCAGCAACCAGCTTGGATTCATTCAGAAGATGGCCTCCAGAGAGGAGCATTGATTCAGCAGATGGCCTTCACAAGATTCAGCAGATAGCCTCGGAAGAGAAGCATTCACCAGACAGCCTCCAAATAGGATTCATCAGATAGCTTCAGAAGAGGATTCAGCAGAGATGAGCTCCACAGACCCTTTGCAGAACTCTGCAAACATTGTAGATTTTGCAGACTTCCATAGACTTTTAGACCTCTGCAAATTTCCAAACATGCATAGACCTTTGCAGAGACCTGGCCACTACACTTGTCTCCATCCCTGCTCTGACAAACTACAAGGAGAACCACTGGCCTGGACCAGGTGTCTCTTAAAAGAGCTGTTTGCTGTTGGCTTGTATTAACATTTTATAACAAGCTGTAGCACTAGTGTCCCTGGTACCACCTCCTAGTGACCTGTGCTGACCAGCACTGCTGACCAGTGTCTGTGTCTAGCCACCTTTGAGAGCTGTCCACCACTTCTGGTCTGGTGGCAGCATATCATCCCAGTGCTATTGCCTCCAACACCATCCAGTGCGGAATTCTGTGTTGTCCAGACTGGTCTTCAGACTGTTGATGTGGTCTGCTGTAGTGCACCTCAGCACCTGTGAGCACCTCCAGCTGCCACCATGAGTTGGAACCTGGTGCACTGCAGACCAGTATGCACAGCTCCAGGCTCTCATCAAAGGGACAGTGCCATCTTGCAAAAGCAGCCTTTGTCTTGGTCTATTGGATACTGTAGACAGTAGGGACTCTTATGGCTTAGAACTCTTTCATTTTTTTCCAATCTCTTGTTTATTAATAAATCCCATTGTTGTACCCAGAGACTTACTGGTCAGCATTTGCAAGCACATGGTTGAGAACCACAGACAGTGACCTACACCTCTCTCTTGGCACTCTTTTACTTTCATTTTTTCTTTTTCATTTTTGAAGGAGAAAGCAACAACTTTCTCAATGGGTTTAGAATTCCATATTGGTAGTGGTACCCCACCCCATGCTGGCATTTAAAAAATGCCATTTTCTTCCCTTATGTGTCTGACTGCTTTTAGGATTTTCTTTGATTTTGGTTTTTAGCAGTTTTAAACTGTGATATGCCTAGCTGTGGTTTTCACTAAATTTAAATTTATGTTGCTTCAACTTCAGAGTATCTTTAGTTTGTGGATTTGCATGTCTTGGTTTGAAAATTGTCAGCTCTTTTTGTTTCCTTATCCTCCCTCCATTCTTGTGTGTGTTTAGTCCATGTATGAGTTTACTCCAGCTACATAATAAGTTACCTTAGCCTATGCACTTATTAGTTCACAGTTCTAAGGTCAGAAGTCTACAGCATGGAATGACTCTAGGTTCTCTGCTCAGTCTCTCAGTGTCACAGACTGACTAATGGTGGTAGTTCAGCTATGTTCCTTTCTGGAAGCTCTGGGGGAAATCAACTTCTGATTCCATTCAGGTTATTGACAAAATTCAGTTCCTTTGGGTTGTAAACAAACAAACACACAGACAAACAAGGTTGCCTTTTCCTTGTTAGCAATCTGCTGAGTGCCAAATGCAGGGGCAAAAATTTTAGGGGCATCCCCATTCTTTATGACCCTCCATTTTCAAGCATATCAACAGAGTATCTCCTCTAAGTCACAAACTTTGAATCTCTGACTTCAGTAAAAGTGCAGTACCTTTCAAAGCTCACCTAATTAGGAAAGGTTTATCCTCTCTTTCTTAAAGTCAATATGCCATATAATGGAGTTGGAAAGTGGAGTAAAATCCATTATCTCATAGTTGTTTGAAATTTGCAGGCTTTATATTCTGTTAGTTAGAATTCTAACACATCCTACAAATAGACCTTTACACTGTATTTCATACTCTTTTGCTCTTTTATTTTCCATCTCCTTTATATATTCTCTTTTCAGTATCTACTTTGCTGTTAATACTATTTTACTGAGATTGTAAATTTATTCATTGCATTTTCAGTTCTAACATTTATGCTTTTGTAGAATCCAAGTTCCTGATGAAATTCCACATAATGTAAAATATTTTGTCTATTTTTCTATCTATTTTCTGTGCTGGAAAATATTAACCATAGCTAAAGTGCTTATAATCACTTTTTAGTCTAGTTTTGTTTATTCTTCACTTAATTAAAAAGATCAAACTTGTCATTTTGCTTTCCTTGTAATATTATACTAAATCTTGAACATGGCATATGAAAAATTTCTAACTACACAACTGTATATTTCTCTATTTTGGACCATCATTTTTCTAAGTCATTCAGATTCAAACCATCTTTTATTCCTATTAGTTCTTCATTGGTAAACTGACTCCATATTTTTCGAAATTTGTATATTTTTTTTTTGGAAGATTTTCATAGATTAATAAATTATTAACTGGTCTCTATCTCCAAATTTTGTTAGTTTTTTTTTCAAAGAAAATTACATATTCATTCATTGTCCTATTTATCAATCTTATAACAACTACCCTAATTTTCATGATTCTTATCATGATTATATCATGACTTTCATTGACTATAGATATTTTGTCTTGTAAGCCCCCACCTTCACTTAAAAAAATTTACTGTCCAACTGCAGTGGTAGTGTAGGGTGAATGATTTTCAGGCTTTTCTGCCTCCCTTCTTAGGATTGTATGCCTGATGGTGGGCACCTGCCTTTGTTACATTGTAATTTTCTGTTGTGTTGTTTACCCTTGTGGGCCCTGGCTGCAGTATTTATATTCACCAAGAGAGAGAGAGGGATCCAGAGAGCCCCAGAAAGCCCCAAAGGAGCTTGAAGGAGCAAAGACTTGCTGGGGTCCAGGAGGCCTACTGGCCTCCACCTCCCCCCCTCCCCTCCCCCACCCCCCCCGCACCCAGGCTGTGTACCTGGTAGCCCCACTACAGCTAAAAGCTCAATAAAAGCCTGAAAAAACCACCAGGGTTCCAGGACTCTCCTTTACCCATTTGCTCCAATCATAGAAAACCTGCTCTGTGCCCTTCCTGGCACTACAGGTGGGAAGATAAATGTGGTCCAGACTGGATTCATTATCATACAGTCATTATATTTTATTCACTTTTCTTCTTTGAGTTTAAAACATATTAAAATTAAACTTTTTCTTTGTGGTCCTGAAAATACTATGGACCCTCTGCACTGTGTTTTCTCTTTTTAATAGATAACAGCACTCTCATCATTACATATAATAAACATATTTTCTGACATGTTCCTAAAGTCTCCAAAATTGGCTAAATGTCCATGTTTACCAAATCCCAGCTATAATTTCATTTCACTCATTGTACTTTTCTTCATTGTCAATTCATATAGCTTTCTAATATTATTTCATCAATTGATTATAAATATTTTTGTACTATTTCTTAAATTAGTGGACTTTTTCCTAAGAATCATTAAATGCACATATATGATCTTTTATTAACAAAAATACCTTCTAATTACTACTAATGTCTCATTTCTAAATAATATATGGCAAGTTTAATGTTAGGTTATTTACTAATAATACTGGCAGTCTCCCTGAAGTTAATGATTTAATTTTATATTACATTAATAAGTTTTTGCTTTATGACTATATTACTAAATGATTAATTTAATATTTATAGGTATACTACAATTGCTCTTGCATTAAACATGGATTAATAACATTGGATGAGCAAGGTGATTCTATTGATGCTAGATCTGGGACATGTGATCCCAAATGTTATAAACTTCCTTTGTTCCTTGCTTTTGTGTTATCTACAGTTATATTTTCTTGTTTTACTGGTATACCAAGCATCCTGGCCATCCTCAGGTATGTATATATTATTCTTTAATACATAAGAGTGAGTGACAATCTTAGGAAGATTTTGGAAAATTGTAGCAAATATTTTACTGTGTTTCAAAGTAGCAACTATTAGTGGGAAAAATTATTACATTGTCAAAATCCATGCACATGCTTAATTCTCTGTTTTAATGAATTTATTTGCATAAATTATAGATATCACATTTAGTTTTAATTAGCTAAATAATTAATTTAACTTAATGCATGAAAAATTCATATATGGGAAAATTATTGTATTTTAAAAATTCATGAATAGATTTGATTCTTTTATTTATATGATTGAAGTTTATAGATATCACATTTACTTTAACTTTTATTGAAAAGTAAATTTGTTTGTTTGTTACATATCTGGAAAATTCTTAATTATAACACAGATATGGTTATAATATTGACTCATAAGTTATAGTAATTTATAGATTATTTACTTTAATTTTTATATTTCATATTAAGGGGTACAATTTTAATAGACATTCTAATAGACAATTTGACTATGAAAAAACATTAGCTTCACCCCACAAAGGAACCTAATAACTCTAACTTTTAGAATTTCATTATGTAAATTTTTATTATTCTAAAATAAACCTACATTCACTTGTTCTTCCACAAAATATGAAATACTTTAAATATTTTTTATCATAGAAGCAGAATAACTTGTCATAATTAAATTTTTTCAAAAGGTCAACATAAAACTTTAAGCCATATGGAATAGTTTTCTGTCCCAAGGAAAGCTGAGTATAAAACAGGAATAAATAAGAGCATGCAAAAAAAAGAAATCAGGGCCTCCCCTGGTGGCGCGCAGCGGTTCAGTGCTGGGCTGCAAAGCTGCCCCAGCCTCTGCAGCAGCACCGGTTCCATCCCCGGCCGGCTGGCAAGAGTCCCATATGGCGCGCAGACCTCCCTGCCAAGCCGTCTGCTCCCCTCAGCAGTGTATTTCGTCAGTCTGCCTGTTCTGTTTCCCGCTCTGGCTCTGGTGAATTCTCTCACCCTCCACTGCATCTGACTGTACCCAGTGCTTGTATAAATAAATAAAAAATAAATCTTTAAAAAAAAAAAATGAAATCAGGGGCCTCCCCTGGTGGCTCAGGCAGTTGAGCACAGCGCTGTGAAGCCGTCCACAGCCTCTGCAGCACTAATTTGATCCCTGCAGGACGGTGAGTGTCCCACATGGTGCAGCAGACCTCTCCTGTCGCGTCCGCTGCTCCGTCAGCAGTGTACTTCAGTTGTCTGCCTGTTCTGTTCTGCCCGCTCTGTTTCTGCTGAATCTTCTTACCTCCTGTGCATCTGGCCTGGACCCTGGTTCTTGTATAAATAAATAAATAAATAAATAAATAAATATTTTAAAAAAAATGAAATCAGTGAATATGGGGTCTCCGCCATCAATGCACTTATAATTTAGAGTAGATATGAAACTTGGACATATCAATTACTGTGAAATAGTTTTTTCATATATATGTGTCTGGATATGTATGAATAAAGTACAAAGACCACTAAGATATGAACTTGACTTGAGTTGCTTAGAATTTCATGGGAGGGTGAATAACAACACAAATAGAAATGCAGTGAATAATTAGAGCAATCTTAAAGATTGTATAACTGACCCAGGAACAAAAAGGCAAGAAAGGTAATTTCTATGCAAGATTACTTGGAATTACTTATAGAAGACATGAAACTTAACTGTGTTATGCAGATTAAAAATTTTTGAAAAAGTGCAAACTGGGGATAAGTTTGTTTTTTTTTTAGATTTATTTAGTTATGCATACAAGAGCTGGCATGCAGGCAGGGGTGGGGGGCGTGAGAGGCTGCACCAGAGATGGAGTGGGAAGAAAACAGGCAGACTGACTGAAATACACTGCTGAGGGGAGCAGCAGAGAAACAGGAGATGTCTGCCTCGCCATGTGGGTTGCTCCCTGGCAGGCTGTCGATCGAACTTATGCTGCGGAGGCTGTGGACTGCTTCACAGGGCAGTGCCTTAACTCCCTGCTCTACCAGGGAGGCCCATGGGGATAAGTTCTTAAAAGGAAAAATAAGTGGATGGAGAGGCAAAAATCTGTTAAATATCTTGGCGATATTAAAAGTAACATTATGGTGAACAGAACAAGATTCGACTGAGTAAGGGTGTTGATCATGTTGTGTTTTCTTTGTCATGTTAAAATGAATGATGTTATCCTGTGTACACCTGGAAGCCATTGAAAACAGTAAGCCTCAGAATAAAAATAATCATATATGCATTATAAGTAGAATAATTTGAAGACCTGTGGGGGATGAAGCTGAGGGAGAATACTACATAAAAGGGACAGTGCAAATATTATCATTTGAGAATTGGTTAATTTGTCTTGATTACCCTGGTAGTAAATATTTGAGGAAGCAATATATAATTTTAACCAGGTTGGTATGGGTGGAATTAATCTAATTTTTTGCAAAATAGTATAAAAGCAATGTATGTATTCTGTATTTTAATAAATTGAATAATATTGGATGAAAATATTGATCATAGTAGGCTATGTTCTAGAACAAGAAAAGTTTATAACTTTTTAAAATTATTCATGGTTTATTTTACATGCAGTTCTTATTTTTTACTTCCTAGAATGTTTAAAAGTTGTTTTAATTGTATTTTCAATTTATTTTCCATATTACTAATATGTGATATTATGCATTATTTTTCTTTTTAAAACAAATGCTTGATTTGATTAGTGGGAAGTACAGATATTTTCATTCTTTATATGTGGGAAATTATTTATCATTTATTTTAGTTTTTGAATACAGAGGTTAACAGATCCAATAAGAAATGTTAAAAGAGATCCAATTAGGAAAATTCAAGTAAAATTGAATTAAGTAATGATTTAACATGTACAAAGATTGTTAGGAATCCCAAAATACAGTGTAGTACTTCCTGTCTGTTACGATCTGGGTTCCAGAGGGGAATGAGGGTAAGAAGTAAAGAGACCTATAAGGGGACTCTTTTGTTTAGGGGCCTAGTCAGTCTGATGTAACTCTGCAGGGAGGGAGCCCCAAATGAAAAAAGAAAAGAATGAAAACTAGTGCCAAGTTATTTTCATCAAAGGAAAGAAGGCTGGGCTATAGGGTTTACACCAAAAATGATTCCCTCTTGTGAAGATCAAGAAGCTTTGGAATTGGCTGATAAGGGGCAGGATATGAAGAAATGAGGAGATGCAGTTTTTTAATTCAGTCATATTGAATTCTAAAGATATTTAGTTTGATGCGCAGGGGGAAAATTAACTTTGAAATTTGTAAACATGCTTTATAGCTAACAATAATGATGTACTGATGATATCATTGCCATTTGCTTACAGGATTGTATCAGAAAAGCATCGTGCTATAGCCTTGGGTTTGAGCTATGTGATAGTGAGACTATTTGGTATGGATTTTGTCAATCTTTTATTACATTGAATTGTTCCTTTTTGATACTGCATACATATCTACATGTATATTTAATATTTTGAGTAAATAACAGTGGTAAACTGACACACCAAGTGAGTGAGGGTGCAGCTTAACTATCTAACATAAAACACATCCTATCCGGAATATTAAATATGCATTAAAATTATATTCAATTACCAGTGATAATCATTTGTTTCAGAAAAAAATCAACCAAGCTCTTACAATTGGTTTGATAAGCTAGACTAAACATTTTATGAGCTTAGCAGATACCTGTTATAGTGCTTGCAAGTTTGGGAAATCACTAACCTAGATTAATACCTATAAAAATTTTCATCACATAAGACACCAAGTCTTAAGTTTGTGAGTAAGTTAAAGAACAAATTAGTTTTGCTGATGACAATGTAGTACAGATTTAGAATAGCAAAAACTAGCTTTACATATAACCATTGTTACCACAAATTTTTTCTCTTCAATATTTTTGGACCATTGATTTATGAAGTGCTTTCAAATTATTGGTTGGTGGGATAAGAAAACAAGATTGAATTGTTTTGAGGGTGAAAGACAAATTATAAATAGAATAAAAATGTGAAAAAACCAAAGTGTGACTCACGTGAGGATCAGAGAAAATATTTTATAGTTAGATTATATACTATTCTAAGTCTGGATTAAAATTACAGCATATTTCTATGCTACATAATGACCCACTAGAAAAAGGTCAGATTTGTAGTGGAAGAATGAGCATAGGAGAAATAATAGCAAGTGAGACTGATGTATTTTCAAATGAGAGAGGGTGGAATAGAGATATTTTGGATACACAGTATCTCTAGATCTTGGTTTTTCCATCAGGGAATTTTAACATAGAATAGTTATTATCTGATTTATATTAAAAAAATATCTGCTATTAGAAGAAGAAATGCTTATAGAAGATAAATGTGGTTAAAAAAAGAAAATGTGGGGAAAAAGAGAAGCTTGTACTTAAGTCTAAATAAGAACTATGTTAAATTTGGTTTGGAGATTATAGTGCACAGTGAGACAAGTCAGTATTTCCATTATTTGTCCAGGAATTACAAAGATTTATCATGGATTGAAAAAAAAGGAAGGAACATCAAAAAATTAATAGTAGACCTAGTTTTTTCCTATAAACAGAATGCCAGCACTCTCTGAGATTGGAAATTTGGTGATGTATATTGGCCTTTGGAAAGAATAAAGAATCATAAAGCAGGAGGGCATAGACAATTTCTTAATGAAATGATAAATCATTAGACATGGTAGTTATGAAAATCCAGTTCTAATTTTTGGGGTGATTTTTCTCTTTTTAATGACTGTTCATTAACTTTTAGCTGAAAATGATGTTATTGCTGAGAAGATGTGTCTCAGTATAGCAGGTACCGGAATAAGGTCATTTTGTTAAATAGTGTTCTTTACAACACTGAAGAGAAAAAAATTGTGGACATTGAAAGGATGTTATTCAAGGATACACTTCATTAGTTATTTTGTTTAATTTGGAGAATTCCCTTAAGTAGCACCCAACTCTGGATATAAAATCAGTCTGAATGTGGGGATACTACAAAAATTCCAAAGCATTTGCATTTTCAGTAATCTATCTCACCTTGGTAAGTAACACATATATAGTAAAAAAAAAAATTCAATTATTGAAGATTGAAAAATTTGAAATCTTTGGTGATAGAGAGTTCACAAAATCAATGATTATTTCTGTTTAAATACTTTTTATTAAAATTTTTATTAAAAAATTAAAACTTTTGAGATGCCAACTAAATAACAACAGGCACACTTCTAATAAAGATGCAAACCTACTAATTTTTTATACCCACAGGGATAAGTATTTTCTTAAATACAATCATTTTTTTCCAGTTATTACAAATTTTATGTATAAACTCAGATTATTTTTAGATGATGGGTTTACAGTGATGATTACATGTATATGTATAACCTTAATTTTAAGAGAAGAATCATTCTGATCCCAACCTATACTGTCTTTATGGAAAATTTACAGTTAATGCATTTTTCATAGGGAGTATACCTGGACCAACACTTTTTAAACTAGCAAGAGAAGCTAACTGTAATTTTCGTGATATTGATCACTGTGGAGTCACTGGAAGTTGTTGGATGTATAACAAGACAAAAATGATGTACTTATTTGTAGGACTATGTAAGTGATATCAATTGAAGAAATGAAGAGAAGTAAAATTGTTTTTGAAATTTATGGTTGTTTATAGTAAGTTACAGTAATAATAAACTATGGACAAATGGAGACCTTGTTGTTTATGGTACAGGAGATATTTCAAAAATGAAAGAACTATAGAATTTATGTAAATATTTGAATTTAATGCATTTAAGAATTTAGTTTCTGGGCCTCCCTGGTAGCAAAAGGGATTAAGTCTCAGCACTATAAAGCTATACGCAGCCACTGCAGTACAAATTCAATCCCTGGCCAGGGAGCTGACCCAAATGGCACAGCAGACCTCTCCTGTCTTGCCCACTGCTCCCCTCAACAGTGTATTTCAGTCAATCCACCTGTTCTCCCCATTCTGTCTCTGGTGAATTGTCTCACCACTTCCCCACTCTGTACCTCTGGCCTACACCCCAGCTCTTGCATGCATAAATAAATAAATCTTTTTTAAAAAAGAATTCAGTTCCTCAATAAAACTAGTTAAATTTCATGTAATTAATAGTCATATCTGAATATTAGAAGTACAGGTGAAGAACACCACCATTTTCAGAAAGTTCTATACAAACCACTACTCTAGAGAAAAGCTTATTCAATAGGGATCCATGAACTCTAGGAACCCACAATGAATTTTAGTATATTCTAGAAATCCTAATATTTTGTTTGTACATTTGTATGCCCAGTTTGTTATTCTCTGTGGAGGAAGACAATGGTATTCATCAGATTCTTAAATGTTTTATCATTCAAAATAGTAAAACAATTTTCATATCAATACATCATTTCCCTTTGACAAGGAAATTCTGATCTTTCTCAAATCTTAAGTTCCCATTGGGATTATTAATTAAATGCCATTTACCTCAACTGAAGGAATTCGTCAGTTCTAGCTTATTTGCTGTAGAAATATTTGTAGGTCTTTTATAAACATTCCTTTTTTAACTTGCCATGTTCACCACTTTATCAGTGGTAGAATTTTTATTGAAATATGTATTCCATAAAGAGTATATATTATAAATAATTTCTATGAATTGATTGCATCTGTCACTAGCATCCATATCGAGAAACATAATATGTTAGAATTAAGTGGATGTAGTAAGATTACTTAATATATAATCAGTATGCAAAAATCAGTTGTGTGTTTATATTGAATATATATGACACAATCAAATACAAAAATAAGAAATACAATAACACAATCAAGTACAAAGAAAAAATCTGCTGAGAGTTGCCTGGTAACTTTACACTGATAGATACAAAATCTATTTGCAAGAAATTAAATCCTAAAAATAAATAAAAGGTATGATGATTATAGGAGGTAGAAAGGGTTTAAAAAGCCATTTCTAAGTGAATACATAACATCAATGTGATCACAAAAATCTCAGGTTTTTGAAATTGACAAGGAAATTAAAATGCATATGGAAAGTAAAAGGGGCAAGAATGATCAATTATCAATTATTTAAAAAAAACTTGAAGAAAAAAAAATGAAGGTTATATGCACTCAGATACCAAATATATTATCAAGATAATATAGCTAATACACTATGCTATTGATCTAAGAGTCACTACATTGACCAATTTAACAGAATGGAAAAAGAAATAAATCCATGGATGCATACTCAACTGATGAGAAAGTTATGCTTTTGGGAGATTCATCCATGCTATTTTTATAGCAGTAGTTTGTGCTATTTAAAAAAAAAAAGTTTGAGTATACTATGTCATTTTGTGAATATACTATATCTTATCCATTCTCTTGTTAATATGCATTGGAGTTATTTACAGTATATATCAGAAATGTATGAGACACTATTGTATTATAAATGGCATACACTTACTAATGTCTCCTATTTGCAATTTTGATACCACTAGATCAGTTAATTTATATTCTGTACTACAATCTTTCTTACTTTAAATGACAGGGTCAGGTGCATACAAAGGACAAGTACTACTTGTAATATTTTTTTTTCTGAAAATAGAAATGAATTTATAAGACTTACATAATCAATTTTTCATAATATTTTTGGTTGTATTTGGGAAATGATGACTATTTCAAAAAAGAGTAAAGTCACCTGAAGTGACTTAAACAGTTTCCAGTTCCTGTTCATAGTTAAGTTTTCAAAGTAAAAATATATTTTTATGTTTCAAAATTAATAAATTCTGTGAAGCAATAACACATCTTTCATTTTCCTTAAACTATATACCTAAGAAATCTGAAAGGTTTTATAAACATTAAAAAAAATCCCTTGAAATAACTTGGTAGAACTTTATGATGTTAATTACATGCTACAGTTGAAAAACTGATGCTTTTAGAGCTGAAATATAATTATATTTCCATTACTAAATGACATTTTTTCCATGTACATTTGTGCTTTGAATAAACTGATGTATCAGATGATTTCTTTTTTAATTTCAGTTTTAATGTGCAAATCAGCCTCTATCATCTTCATTGCTACTGCATTTGGCCTATTCAAATATTTACCAGGGGGAAAAAAGACTATCATGCCTATACCTGTAAGGACTCCAACAGTAAAGAAGAAGAAGAGAAGAACTTGAGAGAGTTATAACTTAAGTTATAACTTGAACATAATTGTGTAAGAATTATATATCATCAGTCTATCAATGAAATATTGTATTAATAAAATTTAAAATAATTGTGATACAGGTATACGTTTAATAAGTGAATGTAATTTACATGATGCTATGTTTTAGCGTATTTTGAGTACAAACATAATAATATAGTCTCCATGTTTTGTATTTTCAAAGAGAAATTATAAGATACACATTTAATACTTTTAATAGAAAGATAACTTTAAAGAAAGGGATGAAGTTGAAGTGAAAAAATACACAAGTTAATACCATTTATAATAATATTTCATGTATTAGTTAATGGCCTTTGGTTTAATAGGATTATTTAGATTTTAAGCAGTTTATTTTATTTTT